CTTGTATCTTAGAAGAATTAACAAACAAACATACAGAGACGTTACATTACAATATGTGTTAATATTGTCACTCTTCATATTACTAACAGAGGAAATAGTATGACATAACCTACTTATTTGTAGTTTAGCATGTTTTATATTAATCTCATGTGTTGATCATTATAAATATAATTTTTGTCACAAATGAAAATGTTTGTGATAAATTGTGGTAAACTGCCAGAACCTACTATGAACTGTTCCTGAAGCCCTTTCAACTTAAAGATTTTTGAAATTGTTTCTTTCAGGTTGTTTTCCAGACCACTAGGCTTAAAACACATTTTTATTTCCTTTATTTGGACAGATTAGGAGATCAAGTCAGTCAAAATACCTTAAAAATATTTTACATAATATGTATATATAAAATCAATTCTTAATGACAAAATAAGAACATATACATTTACCCAACTATAAATAAGTATGAAAGACATGCATGCAACACACGGGTCATCCTGCTGACAGAATTAGAATTCTGTTTGGTGGATATTTATTGTACTTTAGGAAAATAAAGTTTCAACATACCAAAATAAAGAATTTTACAGGCTATTTGAAAAAATTAACAGTTATAAAGATTGTGCTACTAGTAAAAAGGGTTTTTACAGCTTTCAAAGGCTCCCTAGATGGAGTGAAAGTGTTGTTGCTATTTTTTAAGAATAAAAAAAAACGGAATGTAGTGTAAATGAAGTTTCACTGTTACCGTATCTGAACTCGTACAAGTCTCAACACCATCTCTTGGAAAAGCATAAAATCGGGCCATTTCTCTGCAAAATGTCTGAAAGCATTCTTCTTCTGTTTCCCAGTCAACTTCAGTAGTCAATCTTAGGACATACATAGGTAGTGTTTCTAAGGGCGGGATATATTTGTCTAGTAGCAATGGAAGGCTTAAAATATTCCCCTCCTGTAATGAATGAGAAATTAATATATATTGAAACTAATTCATGTGTATGATATATCATTAAATTAAGATAATCACAATATATCTAAAATATTTGTTTTCTCCATAATCACTATTATTCAAGATCTTAACAAAATCAGCAATTACAGTTTCAGTTTTACCACTTCTTATCATGTCCATTGCTGCCTAGGGCTGTGTTTGAAGATTCACCAAGCAGTCTGATTTTTTTTACTCTTTTATTAACTAAAACTATTTGACAATGTCCGAATAGTAATTACACATCAAATGTGACTCATATGGAAAATTTGATTTTTTTTATTTCAACGTTGAAAAAGCAGTACTGATGTAACTCAACCCCCCCTTCCCCAAGACATATATTTAATTAATCAACAGTCTTGTTAAAAAAATGACTGTTAATAACTCTCTCTTTTCTACCCTTTCTTTTATTGTTATTGGAGTTGAAGGTATATATATATATTTATTTATTTGCTTACCATATTGTTAGCATTATCCTGTTCTGGTTAGTCATTTGTTTATTAATATGTAGGATTACTAATCAAAAATGTTATGTTAAAAATACTGTGGCTCTTAAATGACCGTATGTTACATGCCCAGGTGGGGTCAAAGTGCACATGCCACAAACTTGTACAGAGTGCCATCCAACATGGTATGATGAATTCATAGTAGAGTTAACAGCATTCCATGTTATTCTACACTGCTGATTTCATGTTAGATACAATATACAGGGATGCTGAAAAAATTTTAGATATACATTTAGAAGATTTTAAAGATTATGCAAATGCAAACTGTATAAAGAACAAAATATGGTTATTCTTCACATGGACACCACCCTGCACAATGATTTGTTAGTCTGAGTCAGACTGACTTTGTCTATTCACAGACATAGTTTTAGTGCAAATACACTTTGTAATTTGTAAATACAATCTATGTTACTTCTCCAGCATAGGATAAGTTCGTTAGATCAGCCCCATGCACATTCAGGTGACTTGTTTGGAATTGAACTTTTAAGTAAAGATTTGTTTTTTTTTCATAGAAATTAGTCCTTATAATGGTAACTGTTTTACTGAAACTAGTCAGCTGTAATTCAGAATAATGATTTTACCTTTCATTGTACAAATTTTTCATTTCTAATTTCCAATTAGATAAAAACTAGTACTTAATTATAGTGACATCATTATTAAATTAGTGCTATCGAAGGTTCATACTTTCATTTGATAAGGTGTTCCGAACATTTGAAGGCCAAAATCTACCCAAAATTACGGTCCTAGCACTGCTTGTGTGATCAGTTTGAATTATGTTTATTTACTGCACTACAGAAAAATAAAAGGTTTAATTGTAAAATAAATTATACCCATTGATTTAAGCAAAACAATTTTTATTAGATGATTTCAAACTATAGCTAAATTAAAATCAAAAGTAAATAATCTAAAATTCTTGTCACCTTCAACCTAAACATTTATTCCTGAATATTTGACTGAATGTAGTAGTTTTCACAACTGTAAACATTATTAAAGTTTTATGTATAAGAATGAACCTTTACCTCCACCACTGGACTATGATCCAACTAAGCAGTGATTAGTTTTAGGAGGGTCAAAGTCATAACAAGGTCACAAAAATTCCACATCTGTTAACATGGGGACCAACTTTCACACTATTTTTGCTCTGTACCTCAGTCAAAAACGATCGGATTTTGATGAAACTTGGTGGACATTTGTTGAATATTATTCTTCATTATCCTGCCAAATAAAGTCCATGACCATTGATAATGATGGATACTTGGACATATTTTCATATTTTTTGAGAGCCGAATATGATTAATGCAACATGGCAGATGTATGTGCTCTACTGAGTGCTTCTCTAGTTGTATTTCTATTTTGATTAATTAAAAAAAGAAAGTTGGCCTGGTTGTTAGGGCACTTGACTCACAATTTGTGAGTAACGGCTTTGAATACCCATCACTGAACATGCTTGCCCTTTTACCCATGGGATGTTATAATGTGATGGTAAATCACACTATTCATTGTAACAAAGTAAACAAAGAGTTGATTAGCTGCCTTCCTTCTAGTCTATTACCACTAAATTATGAATTGCTAGCCCTCATGTAACTTTGCACAAAATTCAAAAATGAACAAACAAAAAGTTAGATCTAAATTAGAATTTTTGAAATTAAAATTTTCAAAATACCATAACTATCATTACACACAAACCTGGACTTGTAACTACTTCAAAAATGGACAGAACCTAATCTTAATGACAATTTAATCGAGCTGTTCATTTTTATTCTTCACTTGTACATTGTCATCAGTTACATTGAAGTCAGCAGTAAACTCAAATAGAAGAACGTTTTTCCTTTCATGTAGAAAATTTCAACTGCTTAAATAGAGGCAAGAGCTGTTATAACAATAGTTTATCTGACTAATCAAGCAATGGTTTGGTGTTCATACATGAGCAACAAAACAACTGTATGTTGTAATTAACAGCAAAGAACATAATCTACAAAAACATTTTTAGAGGGGATAAAGGGGAAATCCGTGTTACATTTCTATGGATTTCCAGTCTGAGAAGTACTTTGTCAAACTGACCACCACTTCAAGAAACAATGTCAAGCATGACCTTTTAACTAGATGGTATGATACATTATTCCGATGGATGACTAAACATTCAGCACATATTAAACATTTCACTTGTGAATGAAGGCGTTATAAGTTATTTTTTGTATCAGTCAATGTGTACAAGAATAGTAAATTAATAGAAAATTTTACCCACGAAGAAGTCTTAACAGTAACAAATACAGCCAGCCTCACCAGTGAAAAATGCAATATTTCCAATTAAAAATATTGCTGGCTAAATATATTAGAATATATGGGGATAAAAAAAGATACAAATAGTTAAAAATATTACCTTACAAGCAGGAAATTATTCTGGTGGTTAAAAATGTTAACTTAACAGCACATGAAAGTATATAACCAATGAAATAAGTTATTAGTTAAACATGTTTTCTAATCAAAGTCTATGCTATACAAGCTGGAACACAACCTTATTGTACCAATGGTCTCTGTACATGAAATCATGAGTTAGAAAATAAGATTACTGAGAAAGAAAGATAATACTTACATTATAGATGAATAAAATTATTACTTCACAATTACAAGTTACTCACTTTACATGTAAGAATGTAAAATACAAAACTTATTATCTTCATGTTAAGTTACATAGCCTGATTTTTCAAGTACCTGATCTATATCCAGTGAGAAGTAATCTTCTAACATCTCAGCTTTTGTTTTCAAGAAGTCCACAATGTATTGGGCTAAACCAGTTTTTGGCCCATCTAATTCTGACCAGCCACTCTCCTCACTCTCTAATGCCAACATGGCTAAATCATAAATTGGAGCTGGTGACTGTTAGATACAGAAAATATTTTTATATGTAAATACAGGAAGAATAAAAAGAATTTAGGTGAGAAACAAATAGAATAAAACTCTCTCACAATATATTTGACTTGCTAGGTACATAGGCAAATCCAAATATTACAAAAACAAGAAATACTATTATATCAGACTTTATTTGCCTTACCGGTTACTTGAGCAAATATGAACATAAAAATAAAAAGGTGTCATGTAATGCTTTAATAGCCTTACTAGTTACTTAAGGATATTTAAACATAAAAAAATAGGGACTACTTCATATCAGACTTTACTTCCCTTACTGGTTATTTGAGCAAATATGAATATTTGAATGAGTTTTCTTTATGCAATTATATTTTTGTAAAATTCCTAGTGAAAGAACTACAAATAGCACTATAAAGGTAATGCATTTTCAGCCTTCAAGGTGTCTGAGAGATGCACATATCACTTTGGTATGAACTATGATGAACTGTGCTAAGAAACATCAAGAATTTTTCATCCTTGTAGAGTTAGTGGGGAGGTCGCTATGACCAAAGCCTAGACACAGGGGTTGTCTGGCAAATCCGGCTGGAAAACACTGTTCTAAATCATATGTTTATAATAAAAACACAACTTACTACTACCAGGAAGAAATAGCTTAAAAATTGGATTAAAATTCAAGTTGCGAGAGGGAGAGATTTCATAAGATAAGGTTCTGAATTTATTATCAACTTAAAAAGGAAAAAATATAAGTAAGACCAAAGTGTAATAATTTAAAGAATCCAACACATATTATTATTATTTGAAAAATCATAAGATCTACTTACTGAAAGCTTCAGAATCCCAAAATTTCCAAAGTTTTCAATCATGATTTGGTAGAACAATTCCTCACTAAAACAAAATCAACTATACTTTAAAGTTAACATTTGCCTAATCTAAAAATGTATTTCTGATAGATAGTCACCTCTACACACAGAATTGTTATCTTCCTTGCCTGTCTGTCTATGAGATTTGCATTACACTAGCCTTGAGTTAACTCTCACCTAAATTCCCTTGTTTAATATGAACTGTGCTGGTGCACGATGATGTCATCATTCAACAAAAGTCGTCAACCAAAAAGAGGGTGATATAATTTCCAAGCACACTAACTACTCCTACTTACTTGTACTTGTTATAACTTTATTCTTTGATGAATCAAGAAAAAAAATGTGCACTGGAAGTTGGAGAGGATGGGTAGGAATGTGTGTGAAGATATTTATTGGAAATACATTTTCAGATTAGGAAAAGTTATCTTCTGAGAGAATAACTAACTTCTACACACACACAAGTGCTAGAAGCCCACATTTACATGGAGAGGATAGGGAAAGAGAACATTTAGTGATAAAGAGAAATGCATAAAATGGTCGACAAAGCTGCTATAGTAGGCCAACCCAGAAGAAGGGAAGCGGACAAACCAACACTGAAAACCCACTACTGCCATTGATAGACAAGGTTGAAGGATTACAGGAATGATATAAGAAGGCTACACAAACAAATAGTTGGATCTTCTGAGCAATGGTCCAGACAAATCCCATGTGTAAAGACAAGGGGAAACACTCCTGGGTGAAAAAAAAAGAGTCAGAGTAAAAGAAGGAAAGTAGTGGAAGAGAAAGCTGGAACATCAATTGACAATACAGAGGGAACTAGAGATGTATAGGCCAAATTGGTGCCACCAACAGGACCAGATAAGGAGTGTCATGTATGAAAATAAGGACACTAGGGAGATACATACAAAAAAGAGCAAAATCAGGCCCAGGTTAGAGCAATAACCACCAGAGCTGAAGGTTGAGGAACCAGGGGCTAGATGAGTGAATCTGTGGTGCAAAGAGGAATGGTGAAGGGATTGAAGAGGGGTGTGAAGAACTGAGGGCAAACCTAATGAAAAACCTGAAGGTAAAAAGACCACACTGAGGGTAGAATTCTGTCTGGCCAAGTGTGGAGATCTAATATCACGTTCAGAGCCTCTGGCACATGTAATTTAAGAGACATACTCAATGGAAGTAAATCCAAACAACAAATCTAGAGCTTGGAAGCAAAGATTCCCACAATGGATATAACCTTGATGGTTGATATATGGGAAGACTTTGGAATTGTTGAGGTGAGGAGGTGGTAACATCTCCAACAAACCAGAGGAAGTTCAATATGTTGATGTGGAGTGAATGACCCTTGAGAACTCACACGCATTGAGTCATGTAGTCAGTCAGGCATCGGTGTAGAGATGGAAATCTAGTCAGGTGTGCAGCAAGGAGGTGCTCATCGTGGTATTGGCATGGTTGAACCATTAATACAAGTCAAGTGGAGGAGAAGCAAGTACACAATTTAGGACAACAGAACTTGAAAAGGTTTCACAGGTTTTGCATATACCACTGGAAGTGGCACATGTGTATGGTCCAAAGGAAGGAGTGGTGCAACAGAAAACACAGTTTTCCAAGGAAAAGAACCTCATGGGCATAGTGCAAAAGATGCATAAATCTTGTTGACAAAACATTCTGGTCCTTGTAGGTAAAGAGATGAAAGCCAAAGCTGACAAAGAATGAAGTTGAAGAACATGCCCAGAAGTAACGAGTAAAGGGCAAGCATGAAAAAAGACATGGGACCACAGCCCTGATATGTGAAATGATATATACAGATGGGCCAAGCCTGTTAAGGTAGACACCAAGAAGACAAGTGTTGGGTGCAATATCAGGAAGTGAAAGAAGGCCGAGAAGATGGGAAAGTAAGAGGGAATATGGATTCTGAAGGCATAGAAACAAGAACAGAAAGGTGAGGAGAGACTACAGTATACAATAGTAACAGATATTGGGTCAGGCTAGGCTAGATCTCCAGCAAGACAGGGACATTGCTGAAGATCTGTGGGCAAAGAAAAGGAGCTCAATGAAGGCCATGGATAGAAGTGTGAGGGAGGCATACATTAGCTGAAAAAAAAGCATCCCTACCCAACAGGTCCCAACAGCAGAGGAATCAAGCAAGACATGATAGATCAGAAGTAGTAAGAGTCAATATAGTGAAAAGAAGAGAACGAACCTCTAGAAATTCCTGGGAGCATGATGAAATAGAGAGAGGTAATGTAGGATGGTAGTGAAGAAGTGACAAAAATGTGAAGATTGGGCATCAGAAAGAAAAATACAAGTGAATGGGAAAGTAAATAAGGGGGATAAAACATAGTAATAAAAAAATTGAGTTAATTGAAAGAGAATCAAGGAAGACAAAACACTCCTGGGTACATGTGATATCTAGTGAAGTATGGGTAGCATAAGAAGACAGAGTGGAAAGAGAAAGAAAGGAACATACCTTAAAAACCATGTCAAGGAAGAGAATAAAATGGTGAGGAATTTCTTTTGCAGATAATGCCTTGCCTAGAGCAACCTTCTGTGAGAGAAAAACTGGTAAAACATCATCACCGTGCCCAAATACAGAGAAGGAGCCAGAGATAACAAACAGGAAGAGAAGGCCCAGTGGCAATGAATGAACCAACAACACGTCAAACACTGGCTGTTGTGTCCACCACAGACAATGACTCCACCCCCATCTCACCAATGATACACAAATGCTTTGTGTTAGGACATCACCAAAGTGGAAGACAACATCACTTGAGATCTCATTATGGGTAAATATGAAAAAAAAAAGACATTCAAATTTGATTTCCATGTGTTCAGTTATCAATGAAAACCAATTAAACTTGAATTAAATTCAAGTGTCAGAAACTATCATATGTCTCACATAATTAACTAATAAATTTCAAACATACCCATTCTAGTCAATGCTGAGGAAAAGAATGACATTATCACAAGAGCAAATGCAAAGGAGGAGTTACTGAAGATAGAGGTTGTGTCACCCTCATATTGGTGAAGGGATTTTGTCACATTATGATGTCATCATTCACTAGCACAATTCACATTAAATACTTGTTTTAAGTGAGAATTAGCTCAAGGCTAGTGGCATGCAAATCTCATAGGCAGATACATGACGAAGATAGTATTACTGCATGAGAAGATGAGTTGTTGTTCTAGAATTATGTTCTTATTACATACTTATGTATTAAACAGATTTTATAAAATAACACTAAAACATTTTATTTGTAAATAAGAACTAGATTTTTGCATTTTAAATATATACAAAAAAAAAAAGAAGAAGAAAAAGCAATATAAATTTTTCAAAAAATGGAACACAAAGGATCTAAGATTATATATATTTATGTTTTGGTAATGCCGTACAAGAAAGAAAAAATGTAATTTATAAAATAAATTTCCACATATTCACAAAATTACACTAGTTCCTCTTTGGGTAGCAGAATACTAGCAAGAAAAACACAACTTCAAGAGTAAAGTAGCAATTTTACCTAATATTATGGAAGTTCTCCTTTAGGTAATTATATACCAGAATACAGCATTAATAGCAGAATTAACAAATGTACACAATATTATACATGTTTTATTTTGGATAGTAATTTACCAGCAAGATAAAGTACAGTTTGAAGAATGAAAGCTTTCCCTTAAACTCCCAAAAATTAACTGCACCCACCACATCCAAAGGCAACCCATTCCAGATGCCAAACATTCTGTTAGAAAAATAAAGCTGTTTTTGATGAAGATTACTTCTTCCATGCAAAATGTATAGTTGTGTCCCCCTAAACTTAACATTCTAAGCATTAAATATGAAAAAAAGGCCCCTAGGGTAAGGTTGGCCTATACAACAAACCATTCTATGCCTAATAGCAACAGTGAGTGAATGACATTTGTTTCTTTTCTCAAATCTTCCAGTGTATAAATTCACACAATAATGAAAAATACATATGTTAAAAATAAATTTTAATTTAATTACTTGTTTTATTTTATGCTTCTTAAAAAATATGAATTTGGGGGTTGATGACAACTTTATAAGTTTGTCAAGGGGTCGACAACTCAAAAAGGTTTGGGAAACCCTGTCTTAACATATCCTGATATGATAACCTTTCCATCTTGGGTATTATCCTAGCAGCTCTTCTCTGAACCCTTTCCAACAATTCAATTTCCTTTCTGAGGTACAGTGCCTAAGAATGAAGACAATACTCCAAGTGTGACATAACCAATGACATTACAACCTGTAGAAGATTATACAAATCCCTTTTGTGTGACAATATACCAGAAATGGTACAGTTTCAAGAGTAGAAATAGATATGCAAAGAAGATTAAGCTAATTTTTCAGTAGATGGTTAAATACTAGCAGAAAACAATCCAGTTTAAGTAAACTAACAATCAAACAAAAGTATTGTACGAGTCCTTCTACATAAAGTGCAATATCAACAGGAAAGAAAAAATTTTCCCAAGAATAAAAGTATCTCATCATATACTTAAATACCAGCCAACAAAGTGGTGGTAGGTTAAATATTCATGTAAACATTTTAAACATGTTTCTGTAAAACTTACTTTACAGATATTATTCCATACGTACTACAACTAGAAATGGGTAATTTAATCAGTTTTCTATGAGCAGCAATTACACTGGTTAGTGTCTCATATATTAATTGATTTATATCATGCACTAATTTCAATTAGTTGATTATTTTTATAGCAACTGATTTAATCATAATATTGAGTTTTAGAATAATCTGAAGTACTAATTTCAATTAGTTGAGTATTTTTTTCAGATTATTCTAAAACTCAATATTATGATTAAATCAGTTGTTATAAAAATAATCAACTAATTGAAATTAGTGTTTACAACTATTCCAGCATTCCATTAATCGAAATTACAATTAAATCAAGTGTCATGAAAATAATCAACTAATCAAAATAAGGGTTTCTGAATATCTACTTTTATTGATTATTCCAACTATCCAAATAATCAAAATATTTCCATTAAGTTAGATAAGATTCAAGCTTTGAAATTCATGAATTATAACTTGATTGAGCTAATCATTTATACAATATATTGATATTATTTTACTTTGACTTATTTAGGTTACTTTAAGACTATATGGTCAAAATTAATCCAAAAGATTATATTATTATAGTGGAAATCTCTTCTTTCATATAAAAAATAATGAAAATTTAGTTAGTGTTACACAGTTAACTTTTAAATAGTTAACTGGTATAATACCATCATTATGGAAACAAAATATTACTGCAGCTAGTTAAACATTATTGCTACTTGTTAATAAAATAATACTATATTATCTGAATAAACTTTCTACTTTTATTCTAATTCATTCCCTAATGGTTTTCAAATTTTGAAACATAAAGTTATAACTATCAAAAGTTTTATTTTGCAAAATATATTGATAGTATTCTAATTTTTATGTTGTTTGGCTCTGAATTAATGCTACTTGAGAAATATCTAAATATACAAGGTTTTTACTTTGGCTAAGTACTAAAGAAATCTTTATTACAAGTTTACCACATTCACAAATTTACAATGTTTACACAAGGTTTTGTCACCATCAGATACAAGTAGTTTACCTAGACACAAAAATATATACACAGTATGAAATAAATACATCACATGACTGAAGACTACTTATTTTTAAAGGTATCTTGATGTTTGGTTCTTTATTTAAAATTAGTGTTCTTACTTTTAAATAGATATACTGTGGCTTTATTTATTGTTTTTTAAACATGAGGTTTTTTCTATTTATGTTCACTAAATAAAACAAAATTGTCAGATTCAATCCAGATGAGTTAAGTTTACTGTTTAGTGAGTATGGTAGTCAACTGCAAAATATTCTGATGACTGAAATCTTTATTGAATATTATTTTTATGTTTATCCTATTCAAATAACATACATAAAGAAATTCGGTAACTAGCTATTTAATTATTTCTAATTGCAAATGTGATATGTTTTGAATAGAAAAAATTATTGGTAATATCAATGATCAGTGTGGGTTTACTACATATTTTAAAAACAAACCTAATGGCAATCACATGGTGATATTTAGCTGACATTATCTATTGATTCACCAAGTAGGAAATACCTAGGTTATCTTTGATAAAAAATTTGTAGCAAAATATCTGTTTTAGACAAAAATGTTTTGCAAAAAAATTTGCAATTGGCTACTTTCAGGAGAGGTCTACAATAAGAAACCAAGGGTAAATCGAAAATTTCTTAAAAAACAACAACAACATGAATAAAAATAGGGCAATTAATACCATGTTGTAATAATGCTTTGGTTGATAAAATTATGAAGTGAGCACCCCCCATTTTCTTGTGCTTGTACAAGGGTGTGTGTACTAATCGATTAATGAGCCTATTGAATAATAAATTATTAAATACCACTAATTACTCAACATTAGCTACAGCTACATATTAGTCAAGATTATTCTCTAACTTATTTACTACTTTAATAGTTAAAAAGCCATGTTCTACTGCAACTAACCTTAGTCTGTGATTATTAGTGAGATAGAGCTTCGTCTGATGTTGTACCAGGCTGAATTCTCGATTTACACAGCCAACAAATGTATGCTCTTGGAACAGTTCTTTTAACCCTACAACAGGAAAAGTTCCTGACAATCAACATGTTCAAAATAATAATTCTACAACCTAAAAACAGTTCAAATGATTAATTTCTTAAAGTCTGCTAGTTTGTTTTTTGTTTTATTGTCAGAAATATTCTTACAACATCAAGTTAGAATAATAACTAAAAGTCAAATAAAATTTCAAGATCATGTAATTTAAAATAAGTATTCATTTTTTTTTCCAATACTGTGAGAATTAAATACATTTTAAAGTATGTTTAGAGACCAAACAATAAGTTAATGAGTAAGTTCCAAATAGCAATATACTTGCAGTGACTTTTCAATATTTACCATTTATAAAATTAACTGGAATGCAAAATCACTCTTCCTTATGTTCTAGAAGCAAACACTGAAGCACTCTTAACATTTTATCATGATCTCAATAAACCTACTCCCGAGTGATGCTTCTTACATCTATGGAGTTTAATTAATATCTACACTCCAATATAAAATCTATATAAACTCTTTAAGTTATTCTTACTTAAATTTATTCGAGTCTTGAGATTAGTAACTGTTGAATTCCATTTAATTCAAGTCATACATTCAGCTGTTAAAATTTTCTGTTGAATACAAAGTTAAATTCTACATTATGTTCCAGCTTTCTCAATGTGCTTCATACGAACTTCCCAACAAAAGCAATGTTCTTCCACAAAACCAAAATGATACCCTAAGGATTCTGGTGTGATAAAAATGTGTAGGTGTTGTATTAGGTGTTCAACATTCAAGCTAAATCTACCACTACAGAATCAGCTAAAAAAAAAAAACACATCAGAAAGTAAAAACAAGGAGTTGGTCTACTTATATGGTATACATAACACAAGCTTACACTTACCACTATGACCCTTATTCTGGATTTCCTGTCTCAGGTTGGAAACACTTGTCAGCTGTATTGATCTTTGAGTCGGTGTGTCATCTACAGAGCTGAACAAACAAGAAATTTCTGTTTTACTCAAATGATACACATAGATTTCACCAATTTAAAAAATACATATGACTCACCATACAACAAAATTTTGTTTTTGTAATTCACAAGTATCAGTATGACATTTTAATGTTTGTATTGTTGTTTTTTTCATGGGGGTAAATCAATAAGAATGAAACAAGAAGAACAACAGTACCTTAACCTATGTATATGGGTGGAGGTCAAAGCATACATGCTCTGACCTTGTACACAGTGCCATTCAATATATTATGTATTTGATGTCAGAATTATCAAATTCATGTTACCCTACATTAATGAATTTTGTAATAGTTCATGTTAAAATAGAGAAAATGCAAGATACAAAATATATGGATAATAAAAAAACTGTAGATATCCACTTAAGAAGTTACATAAATGCAATATGCAAACTGTACGATGAACAAAAATATTTTTTTTCTTTATATGAGCATCACCTTGCACTCTTATTTGTCAGAGTCTAAGTCAGACTGACTTTGGCATTCCACAGACAAAGCTTTAGTACAAAAACTTAGTAACACACCTGATATTTTGTGTACAATAGACTTGTATTGTTAACTAAAAGCTTACCACATTTTGTGAAGATACACTTGTGAAACACAGGTCTGAAAAACTAGATATTAAACTATCTCACTATATAGTGGCTATGTGGCAAAAATCAGAGAGAAAATTTTGTTCAGTCCAAAAGCCATTTGTCAGATTTTAAAAATAATGTATGTATATACAAGTTTTTTTTGCTTACAACTATGTACTATGTTGTTGTTGGGCTTAGGATTCTTCTACAGTAGGTGTCTGTGACTTGTTAGCGATAAATTCAACGATGAAT